GGTTCCTGTGCCAGTGTTTTCTTCTAGGAATTTCACTGTTTCTGGCCTAATTCCTAGGTCTTGGATCCACTTTGAATTGATTTTTGAACAGGGTGAGAGGTGAGAATCTAGTTTCATTCTCCTACATGTGGATATCCATCCAGTTTTCCTGGCACCATTTCTTAGAAAGATTATCTTTTTTCTAACATATGCTTTCAGCACCTTTGTCAAGTATTAGATGACAGTTTCTAAGTGGATTTGTCTCTGTGTCTTCTATTCTATTCCATTGGACTTCATGTCTGTTTTGATACCAATACCATGCTGTTTTGGTTACCATGGCTCTTAGTATAATGTGAGATCAGGTATTCTGATGCCTTCAGTCTCACTTTTGTTACACAGGATTGTTTTGATTATTCTGGGTCTTTTATTTTTTACATATAAATTTTAGATTTTTTTCTAGTTCTGCGAAGAATATCATTGGTATTTTGATGGAGACTGCATTAAATCTGTGGATTGCTTTTGTTAATACCTATTCATGAACGTGTGAACACGACAGATCTTTCCATCTTCTAAGATCTATTTTTCTTCAGTGTTCTATAGTTTTCATTGTAGAGGACTTTTACCTCGGTTAGACTTATTCCTAAACTTTTTTGCTTTTCTTTCTTTTTTTTTAGGTTATTGTGAATGAGATAGTTTGGAAGATTTATTATTGGAATAGAAGAAAGCTATTAAATTTTGTATATTGATCTTGTATTGTGCTACTTTGTTGACTTGTTTCTCAGATCTTGAAGTCCTTTTTTTTTAGTCCTTATGTTATAGAATCATGTCATTAACAAAAAGAAATAGTTTGACTTCTTTTTTTCTGTTTGTGTCTTTTTAATTTCCTTCTCTTCTCTAGCTAGAATTTCAAGAACTACATTGAATAGAAGTACTGAGAGTGGACATCCTTTTTTTATTCCTGATTTTAAAGGAAATAATTTCAGTATGATGTTGACTTTGGGTTTGTCATGTATAGCCTTTATGACGTTGAGATACATTCCTTCCCTCCCTAGTTTCTTCAGTGGTTTTTTTAATAACATGAATGGGTCTTGAATGTTACCAAAGATCTTCTACATCTATTGAGATGATCACGTGATTTTTTTGTCCTTGATTATATTTATGCAATGAATTACATTTATTGATTTAGGTATTTATTGAAATGAGATCTTTATATTTCAAGCATTTGTAGATTTTCCTGTTATTGTTCTGTTACTGATTTTTAATTTTACTCATTGTGTTTGGAAAACGCAGTCTGTATGATTTTAATTATTTTTGTCTTATGATATTTATGACTCAAATATTGTCTATTTTGGTGTTTCTTGGCCACCTGAAAATAATCTATATCCTTCTGTTGTTGGGTATATTTCTATAACACTCTGTTAGTGACTGTTTCATAATTATCAGTAGATCTTTTTACTTTGTGGTGTTGAATTCTTGTATATAATCAAGGATTCTTTTTTCTGTCAGTTGATGAGAAAGAGAGTTATTGAAATCTACAATTGTGGACTTATATAATTATCTTAATTCTTGTTAATGTTTACCCTCACACATTTTGCAACTTTATATTTTTAAAAAATTTTTTAGTTGTAATTGGACACAAACCTTTATTTTATTTATTTATTTTTATGTGCCTCATATATGCTAGGCGAGTGCTCTATTGCTGAGCCACAACCCCAGCCCACAACTTTGTATTTTCTTTGAGAGAGAGAGAGAGAGAGAGAGAGAGAGAGAGAGAGAGAGAGAGAGTTTTATTAATATTTTTTTAGTTTTCAGTGGACAAAACATCTCTGTTTGTATGTGGTGCTGAGGATCGAACCCGGGCCGCACACCTGCCAGGCAAGTGTGCAACCGCTTGAGCCACATCCCTAGCCCCACAACTTTGTATTTTTGATGTATAAAAACTAGAATCCTATGTATTCTTTGTGGGGTGATCCATTTATCGTTATATAATGAGCTTCTCTGGTAATTTTCTTTTATCAGAAAAACTACCTTATCTGATATGAATATAGTCATTCCTGACTTCTATCAAATTTTGCTTTATATATTTTTTCCATTATTTTGCTCTTAAACTACCTATTCCATTATATTTAAAGTGATTTCTCATAGACAACATACCATTCATTGTCCACTATGCCAGCCTGTGTCTTTTAATTAGATTAATTAGTTGATTAATTGGTTAATTAGATGATTTACATTTAATATACTTATTGATTTGTTTCCTCCATTTTTTACTTTTCTGTTTTTCTTTACTTCCTATGTGTTACTTGAATGTTTTTAGAATTCCATTTTGATTTTTAAATAGCATTTTTAGTGTATCTTTTCATACAACTCTTTTAGTGATTTTTTAAATATTACATAATTTACATATAACTTCTCAAAGTCTATTTGTATCATAATTTTACAAGTATGAATAAAACAGAAGTTTTGCTTCCTTTTACAACCTTTTACTTTATTCCAGTATGGTACATGTCATAAATATATTTAGAACATCAGTTTTATAATTTTTCATTCATTTATCAAACAATTTAGAAAAGTCAAGAAAAATAAAGCCTATTACATTTAACCTTATTTTTACTTGCCATTTTCTTCCTTATTCCATATTTATGTTACTTTTTAAATTGTTTACCTTCCTTTAAATTGTTTTTAAATTGAAACCTTTCTTCAACCATTATTTTTAAAGAGATCTTAGTTTCTCTTCATTTGAAAAGGTTTTAGCTTCCCTCCAGTCTCTCCTCCATTCTTTAAAGATACTTCTGCTGGCTATAATTCTGGGATGACATTTCTCTTTAAGCCTTGAAAAATGTGTGCCACTGTCTTCCAGTCTCGATGGTTTTCTAGTGAGAAACCTGCTGTTAATCAAGCTGTCTTTCTTGTAGAGGTAAAGTGTCATTTTTTCTTCACTACTTTCAAGATTTTTCTTTGTTTTCAGAAGTTTGACTATAATGTGTTTTGATATAGATTCATTTGGGCCTTTTTTGGTTCAGTAAGCTTATTTAATCTGTAGTTTGTATCTTTGGGCAAAATTTTTGGCAAAATTTTCTGCCCATTATTTTTTTCCTCCTCCTTCCAAGGCTCTGGTGACATAAGAGTTAGCTATTTAATTAAATTCCCAGAAGTCCCTGAAGCCATGCTTACTTTATACAGTGTATTTTTTCTCTGATGTTCAAATTGGGTAATTTCTATTGTTTTATCTTTCAGTTTACTGATTCTTTCTTCTATTCCTTCCATTCTGCTGTTAAGCCCATCTCTTACGGTTTGTTTTTAATTTTAGTTATTGTATTTCTAATTTCTAAGATTTCCATTTGGTTCTTTAAACCTTCTATTTCTTTGCTGGGAATTTGTTTCTTAGCTGGAGAGTTTTTATGTTTTTATTTGTTTCAAGCATGTTTGTAGTCACTCATTAAAACTTTTTTTGATGGATGATTTAAACTCTCTATCAGATAATTTTAATACATCCACTGTCTTGATATTGGCATCTTTTTTTCCTATTCAGTTTCAGAACTTTCTCGTTTGAGGTATAATGGTGATTTTTAAAAATAATAACCTGGAAATTTAGGATATGATATAATAGAACTCTGGAACTTACTTAAACCTGTTTTGGTTATCTTTGCCTGACACTACTCCAGCACATGAAACAGGTACAGCCTCAATATTGCAAAGTGGAAGAGAAAGTACTGGCCTCTGTTGATAGGGCCTTTCCATTATAGCCAGTCAAGGCTCATCCATGCCTTCTCTGTCACCTCCCTGACTTGAAGGGGTTGGAGTGCCTTGTTACTGCTGTCCACTTGGTCTCTCTCTCCACTTCCACAAAAATCAGGAAGGCCCCCATTACCACAAAGGGGAATGAAAGTCATGGCTTCCTACTTAGCTTCTTTGACACCACTCTCATGGGAGAATTGGGCTGCTTCACTACAGTCCAGATATCAAGATTCTATCTTGGTAGGCTATCCCTTTCCTGGTCTTTTGACTAGAAATAGCAGGCTTTTGCTAAGGATTTGTTTGTTTGTTTGTTTGTTGTCTGGGTTCATTGTTCTTCTTCTTTACAAGCCTGAGATATATAAAGTAAAAGAAAAACTCAAGAACCCCATCACCATGTTGTTCTCTGTCGCCACCTTCCCCCAGCCTTTCAGAGTCGTTCTAGGTTTGTTTTCAATATAAAGCCCAATATTATTATTTGTACTTAACAGGAAAAGTATGTCTACTCCACCTTCCCAGAAACAAAAGCTCATAATTGAAACTTTTAAAATCTAGAAAGTATCACTAAACTATTATCAATGATTACCATTGGAAATAAAAGTGGAATTTAAACAGGGAAGAGGGTTGAATAGACTACATACATTTCTGTATTGTTTTTATTATTTTTACAAAAATGATGTATTATTTTAATTTCTATTTTTTCCATTTTTAATTAAATTTTCCCAAAAAATTAGCACACAAACATGTGAATAGACAAATGTAAGACCAACAGCTTCCTTACTAAACAAATAGACCAGAGAAGGAGTTGGCTTAAAATTTAATGTCTTTTTCCCATGACTAACAAATTAATTGTAAAACCATCTCCTTACATTCATAATCATGTTTCTATGAAGATGCTTTTTAAAAGAGTGGTATGCAAGAATATAAGCTCTTAAAACCTACTTTAATCTACTTACCATAGTTAGCCACACATTAGTTTTATCACCAAAGTACTAATAGAAATAGTTCAAAGCAATATGCATATGAATTTCATAGCACATACTTTTTTCCTAAAACAATACACATCCATGTAGATTCCTGATAACAATAGTATGACTAATACTAATATACTATAGTTAGTAATAATGCTAATAATAATGAAAAATCCTTTGGATAACCTGATGTGGATAAATTACATCCACTCAATAGTGATGAGAGTGTTTTCTTTGTGGAAAAGACAACGTCTACTGGCAAAACTTGACATTGTGGGCTCAGATATAAAATTAGTTAAGAAAAAGTGTCTTTACCTGCCATATCTTTAGATTTGTTTCTCCATCCAAATTAGCTGTTGAAACATAACACATTGACTGAGGTTCACTAAGAAAAGTAAAACAAATGTTACTGAATTAATGTCTCTTCATTAAATTGTTTTCCTAGTAATTGAAAGTTATGAAATTTTACCCACTGAAAGAACTACCAGTAGCTATTTCCAGAAAATATTAGCAGACTGCTCCCACCAGCCTGCAATTCATCTTGTAGAATGGCTCAATATAAAAGATCTTATCCTTACAGTCTTGCATGACTGCTCTTTAATCTTAAAAAGAGAAATTGATGAGGATGAACAAATGTTCTATAGTTCAGAACAGTCATATCTGAGGTCAAATCTAAAATTCTGTCATTTTCTAAAATGAGTCCATTACAATTCCCAAAGACTCAAGCTTGATGACCTTTAGAATGAAGTTACATTTTCCAGTCAGATATGTACAGATTTTTAACAGACATTTGCCTTGCCATATTTTATCCCATGTCACATGCCAACTCACTTTTGAAAACTAATAATTTTGAAGGAAAAGCCACAAAGAATAACAAAAATGTTCCACTTAAGTTAATATTAAGTCTTAGAATCTGAATATATCATCTATTGTTGTATCTCATTCAAATATCAGGTTTAAAATAAACTGTGCTGATTTAACTAGCCAAGACATTACAGTAGCTTCTCCCTTATCTGTGGTTTGCTCTCTGTGGTTTCAGTTTCCTGGAATCCCAAGATATTAAATGAAAAATTTCAGAAATAAACAATTCAAAAAGTAAACTGTCACTGTTCTGAGAAGCATGATAAAACCACTGCCCCACCTTCTCCATCCTGCTCAGTCTTGTGTGGGATGTGAATCAGCCCTTGGTCCAGCACATCCACACTGTATACACTAGTCAACCATTAGTAGCTATTTGGCTTATGAGATCAACTGTCACAGTATTGCTGTGTCTGTGGTCAATTAATCCTTACAAAACCTAATGCTATATCACAACGCCTACATCACTCACCTAACTTCATCTCATCATGCAGGCACTGCATCTTACCACATCATCATGAGAGGTGATGTACAAGATCTTATGGAAGAGAGACCACATTCACATAATTTTTATTATGGTTTATTTTTATTATTGCCCTATTTTATTATTAGTTATATTTGTTAATATTCTGCTGGGCCTAACTTATAGAATTAAATTTTGCCTTAGGTAGATATGTTAGAAAAATAACAGTACAAATAGGGTTCAGTACTATCTGAAGTTTCAGGCACCCATTGCATGTCTTGGAATGTAACCTCTGGATATGAATAAGGGTGACTGATGACCCCCAAAATAATTACTAATACAGTCTAACATTAAAAATGTAGCTTCCTTAAGGATACCAGAGATATGACAGAGTAAAAACCTCTAAAGTCCCTGTCCTCTGCACAAACAGTTTAAAAACTGGCAAAAATTTTTCAGAATTAACCTTTTCAGAACTCTGAAAAGCAGCCAAAGGCTTAAAGCAAGACAGAAATATTTTATACAAGAAAGATTGCTAAATCTTGGCTAAAAAATAAATAAGTAAAAAGGAGCTTTGTGATGTTTTGACTTGCCCTAGTCCCATCACCTGATTTCTAGCTCAATGGTACCTTGAAGAATAATAACTCACATTCCTGGTACTGACAGAGTAAAACAGACTGGAGCTCTTTCAGAGTCTCATTTCCAAAAAGCCATTATTTGTTCAGTCTGATGGCTGTCAGAAAGACCCACCAGAAAGGCTTGAGTTAACTTGACCTCACTAGAGCTCACCCATGTTAAAATCCTCTTTCTAGTTAGGGAATCACCTGTCAGAATCTCCTCATGGAGGAGTCCCTGGATTCTGTTTCTTACTCTCTTACTCCCTAGGCTCCACAAAAATTGTAGTTCAGGGTATTCAGGGTCTGGCAGAATCCTTAAGGGAAAAGCCTATATTGACACAGGATTGCTCTTGAGGGGTTTTAGTATTTCAGTTCTTTCTGGGTCTCTATTTTTCTTACTTTTCTGCCACCTCAAATAACATTTAGGCAATTGTGTGTCTTTGTTGTTTTAATAGGATCAGAAGAATCATTTAGGAAATGTGACATACAAAAGTACCAGGGAGGGAGGAAAAATTTGAGGAGTAATGATTTTGGTCTTGCCTTTCCCTGCTCCCCCCAAAAGATTGATTCATTATTAATCAGTACTTTATCCAGAGCAAAGAAGCAAAGGAAATCACACCAAAAAAAAAAAAAAAAAAGAAAAGAAAAACTGACATAGATGAAATAAAAAAACAAACCCTCTTGTGGCCTCCTGGATCAACCCCATTCTCCGACACAAATCCAAGTGGGAAACAGACATCAGTAACAGTTAAATTACTTTCTCAACTGTGTTAATGCATTGTTTGCAAAAGAACAAAGTGCAACTGACAGAAAGAAGAGCTTGTGTAGGAATTAACTGGTTTTCTAGAAGTTTAGAGAATGGATCCAGAATTAATCTCTCTTCTCAAGAATTTCATGCTTCAAGATAATGTGTATTCAGAAGGTTGGAAACATTTTTTGGACCCCTTTGAGATGATTGTGACTTCTTCTGAGGATCCAGCCTGCCAAACATGTTAAATACGGCCGTGTTCGTTACTGTGGTTACTCTCACCCACAGTCACCCAGTCCACCACATAGTCTTACTATGTACATGAGGGATCCACCACAGGAGAAAACATGGAGCTAGTAAAATAGGACCTAATGGAAAGGAGTGTCTTTCTAAAGTTTCCTCCCAAACAGCTGCCAAATAAAGCAGTAGTTCTATAAAAGGAGTAGACACTGTTTTAAAACTTGGGCTTAACACAAACCCACACAGTGATCCTGAGTAAATAACTTAATTTCTCTGTGAGGCAGCATGCTTGTAGAAAGAGAATACCTCACAATTGCCATGATACTGAAATAAGTCAACATGACTTTTTTTTTTTTTTAGTTTAGTCAAATATCCATAGAAATTATAGAAGGGATGAAATTAATCTAAGCAGCAGAATAGAAGAAAATATATTCAGGGAAATTAAAGGCAAATAAATTATCAATCATGGGTGAAGAAAATATGATGCACAAGCTATATGTAGCCAGCCCCTGCCTATTTTTATAAATAGGTTCTATTGTAAACCTGGTGGTCTACATCGCCTGATGTTACAAAGGGAGGTTCAAGAGACTGTGTGGCCCACAAAGCTGAACATGTTAATTATCTGATCCTTTCGAGAAAAAGTTGGATGCCACTGGTTTATCATAAGGTGAAAAGAATAAAGTAGGAGAAAGTATACTCTGCCCTTGTTTTCTTAAAATTTACAATTCAGAATATCAGTTCCTTAAATGCCTTTAACAGAACTAACCTGGAAGAAATCAGGATCATGTCTGCAGGAAGGAACTCCTCATTCAAAGTCTTCACAATGTCACCCACATTTACCTTTTTAAGCCAGAAGAGAGAAGAGGGAAGGGTGAAATTTAAAAGCATACATAGAATGTGTTAAATGTCCTCAAGAAAAAGTACAATATAATATTGACTCATTTAGTCATCCTAATAACTTTTGGCTACATTAGAACAATTTTATTTACTAATGAATCCATTCATCTAAAACAGTGGTTCTTAACCAAGGATGAGTCTGCCCCCTGCACCACCATCACCCCTATCCCCGTCAAACTGGAGACAGTTGGCAATGGCTGGAGACTATTTTTATTGTCACAACTGTGGGAGGAAGGGAGATGAAGCTACTAGCATCTAGTGAATAGAGGCCAGGGATGCTATTAAACATTCCACAATGCCCAGGAAGCCCTACCACAAAGAATGATCCAGTGTCAATTGTGAGTAGTGCTACAGTTGACCACTCTTGCTCTACAATGAAATGTTAAAGGAGATACAAAAGGAAAGAGATACTGTCTCTATCTACATGATGTGGTGTTCATACCAAATCACACTGTAATGCCTTGCTCATGGCCTGCTTTCTTCAGCTGTTCTATGACAGCAGAGAAAATCCCTTATATCAATTGTAGGGTATTTGCAAAGAACCTATGCACATCCTCCCATAGACTTTATATCATCATTAGATGATTTATAATATCTTATACAATGTAATGTTATGGAAATAGTTGTTACATGACATTGTTTAGGAAAGTGACAAGGGAAAACATCTGTACCTATTCAGTATAGATGAAATTTTCTTTTAGAATATTTTCCATCTATGGCTGGTTGAATCTTTGGAAGTGAAACCTGCAGATGTGGAGGTTCAAGTGAGGAAAGCCTTAAAAGCTACATTGTGTCTTTAAAATTTAGGGGACAAGTTCAACCTTATAGGAAAAATAAAGATCAACAATAAAACATCTATTGATCTTAAAATGGGTTCTAAATAAAATATATTTATATAAAAAAACAATAAAACATCCGTATCATATATAAATTTCACATGGCAGTGAATAATATAGTATTTATAACATAAACAGCTTACAAGGTCTAAAAAATACTTAAATGAGACAAGTTGCAATTAAAACTAGATTTTCCCACAAAAACAATATCTATGTGGAAAAATATGTACTCTGGGACATGACAGCAGACCTGTTGAAAGTCATTAACATCACGACTCTTACAAACTTTTTTCTTCTTTGTCCACAGTAACCAGGTTAATCACCTCTTCCTTTTTTAAACACCTCCTGTTTAAAGTGCTCTGATCGATTATGGCACCATGCAGATGGTATAGAAAGTATTCAGAGGAACAAGAATTCTGAGTCCCTGGCTTTGGCTGCTTGACTTGACGTGCCAGTGCAAGACATTGGGGATAAATAAGATCTCAACTGTATTCTCATTGTTATTTAGTCCATTTTATATTGCTATGACAAAATACCTGAGGCTGGATACTTTATTAAAAAGTATTTATTTAGTCACAGTCCTAGAGAGATTCAAGAGCATAGTGGCAGTATCTGCTCAGTTCTGATGAGGGCCTACTGGCTACATCAAAATACGAAAGATAGCATCATGGCAAGAGTATGTGGAAGAGATCCCATGTGAAGACAGTCAGGCAGGGGGCTTGAGGAGCCAGGCTGACTCTTTTGTAACAAGTCACTCTCACATGAAATAACCAGGATCTCACAAGAACTGCATTCATCCCTTCCAAGTCCCCAATGACCCAACCCTTTTCTGTTCGGCCCAGCCTCCTCTTTTCCTTAACACTAGTGCTCTAGGAAACCAGCTTCCAGAAAATGATTCTTTAGGGGACAACCACAGCCAGACCCTGGAAGTCACCTTTGGCTCAGCAGGAAGCCCACCCTGCAGCCTCACTTCTGTTCCTCTCCCTTAGCTTCCTGTTCGTGCCATTCACTATCCAGCTCTGCTAAGACTGTCCCTAGGAATGGAGGGTGATCTCACAGTGGCTTACTTCTCTGAGTCCCAATGAGAGGAACGAAATCCAGTCATTATTGGGTTACGTGTTTTACCTCACTCAAGGAAAGAAATATTGAAGAGACTTTAAAAACTAAAACATTCTTAAAGTTAGCTATCCAAAGACTTTTACATGGGTCATCAACAAATTACCAATGAGGACAAAATCAATATCTGGCCTCCAAAACAGTCAGTATCCCTTTAACTTGGATCTGGCTATGATTCGAATGTCTGTGTCTGCCATAATTTATTATACGGAGATTCTAATCCGCAATGTGAATGCATTAAAAGGTAGAGCCTTTGGGAGGGGATTACACCACCAAGGCAAATCCTTCATGATTGGAATCAGTGCTCTATGAAGGGGGCCCACGAGCTGCCTCACCCCCTCCACCACATAAGGAGGTGGCTGGACACATGTGGGAAGCAGGCCCTTACCAGTCACTGCCAGTACCTTGATCTTAGACTTCCAGACTCCAGAACTGTGAGAAATTTTTTTTTATTATTTACAGTCCACCAAATCTAGGTATTTTTATTATGGCAAGATAAATATTCATAGCATAGCATTCCCTGAGATACTTTCCATATAAAATCTGACTTGTGCCCACACACAATAGTTTTAAAGTATTAGCTTTAAATATTCCATGCAATGACACAGATAATGCCAAGATACATTAGAAAGTGTTTGACTTCCAACTAGACAGACTTGAGTTCAAGTTCCATTTTCTCCACTTATTAGCTATGAGACCTGAGCGAGATACTTATTCTCTATGGTCATCTATTTTCTCACCTATAAAGTGGGGATAATATATAGTTCTTGAAGATGTGCTTCACAGATAAAGATCTGTGAATTTTAAATTCAAGATCTTGTGATTTTAAATACAAGGTAGTACTTTATTGCTAAGTTTCAAGTTAAACACATTCTTACCTCACTTAATCACATGCCATGAATTCTGTCTGAACACTGAAAAAGAAATAGATATTTATTAATTATAATTATTGCACTAGGACAAGTCCACCCAAAATTGATTTAAGATGCCTTTTCCCAAAAACTAAAAGGTATTCTCTATAAAGTTTTATCTTTGTTATTTTAACCTTACATGTACTGCAAGAATATGTAAGTTGTACTGAAATGTGTAATACTAAAATGCAATAATATATATTACATATTGATATAGTGATAGAGGGACAAATAGAGGTTATATTAGGTCACTTTCATTCCTAAAGGGGAAAAAAAACTTTGTCATTACATGCTAACATACTGGTTTATATCCTGAAAAGCAACATAATATATCTCTAATCCATTATAAAGACAGCACATATAAAAACTGAAACTAGGAGAGAATATATCCACATCCAAATCATTATATCCTGACTACTACATCTGCCTCATATTTTTCTTACTTTTTTTTATAAATTAATGTAACTATTTATTCTAATATATGGAAATTGTGCTTCCTTCTGATCCTTGTTCTTTTTTCTTTTCTTTAAATATCTTATAAAACATTTATCTTGATTATTATAAAGTATTTCGGGTATCTTCTTGGCAAATTGGATATTTTTCATCACAGTAGGAGAATGAGTAAAGTATCCATTCAATGTCTTACTGTCATACCCAGGGTTGTCTGGAGAAACAGAACCAATAGTTTATGTGCATAAAGTAATCAGCTCACATGGTTATAGATTTGCACATGTCAAGATCGGCAGAGTGAGTTGGCAAGGTGGAGACACAGGAAGTTCCACTCTGAAGATTGTATATTTGAGACCCAAAAAGAGTCAATATTTCAGTTTCAGTTTGTAGGCAGAAAAAAATAAAAGCCAATGTTCCAATTTAGAGGCTATCTGGCAAGAAGAACTCCCTTACTTAAAAGAGGATCAGCCTTTTTGTTCTATTTGGGTCTTCATTTGGGTTGGATGAAGATTGACAACTTTATTGAAGGTATTGAAGGCTACCAGCTTTGCTCAGTTAGTGATTCAAATATTAACCTCATACAAAAAAATCCTTATGCCAGGTGCCAAGTCGCAGTGGCTCTAATCCCAGTGGCTCAGGAGCCTGAGGCAGGAGGATCAAGAGTTCAAAGCCAGTTTCAGTAAAAGCAAGGTGCTAAGCAACTTAATGAAATCCTGTCTCTAAATAAAATACAAAATAGGGCTGAGGATGTGACTCAGTAGTTGAGTGCCCCTGAGTTCAATCGCTGATACCCCCCCCATCAAAAAAATCCTCACAAAAAACACCCAGAATAATTTTTTATCAGATGCCTGGGAACCCCACAGACCAGTCAAATTGTCCCATAAAATTAACCACCAGAAGTCCATTCTATGCCAACCTGGCACTCATATGCATCTCCTTAAATCACACTGAAACTCAAACATAACAAAGTCAAAATTCTACCTTATATGATACAATATCTTACATACAACTAAAAAGACACTAACTGCTTCTCTAGCAGTTCAGTTCCTTGAATGTTTACTCTTCTCCCTGTAATTATACAACTTAAATGCTTTGATGGAAAGTTAACAATCCTTAAATACTGATATAGAGTCAGCACAGCTTATGCTACATGATAAGGAAATAAGAGAGGGGAAAAAAAACAAAGATTATATACACATACATCCACATAGTCATAACAAAGTAAGGAGGAAATATTCAGGACAATTACAATTACAGTCCTCATTTCTGTTACTGGCCATGTGTCCATAACTGGTACTTATAACGACTGTTGTTCACTACACATTCTGTATTTGTTTGTCTTTGGGAAACATCTCAGCTAGTTGTGGTTCATTTTCTGGTGGGGTGACTCAAACCTTCATTCCTAATGTATCTATCTGGGTCATTAGTAGTGCTGCCTGAGTCAAGTTATGGTAGTTTCCCATTGACCTTAATCATAGGACATAAATATTAGGAGAAGCCCTAAGGTATCTACTCTATTCCAGACACTCTTAGTTCCCTCCATTGTGGAAGAATAGTCCAATTCTCCCTTGGTTGTCAGGATATGTCACCCCAAAGTAACTTCCTCTTTTGCCTGTTGATTCAAGGCCATGAGGAGCCCAAAGTGGACAGGTGGCTCTCTTAACTTCCAATTCAATAGACTTATCTTTGTGCCTCTGGGTGTCACTCATGATTTCTCCAACTCTTGGGTTCTTTTTCCCCAGAGCAGAGCCAGTAATGACACTGGAGAACAATTAAACAGAATGCAAGTCTTTGTTCAATGGCCAGTCAAGCAGGGGAACAGGAGTCTTTTCTGCCACAGAATTTTCCAACTCAATCCAAGCAAGAAAAAGAATGAAATTATATAGATTTGGAAGGTGGGAAGGGACCAGGGGACAGATGAATGGGGGAACATTCATCATTTCCAGGAAAGACCACTTTTGCCTCCAGGAACTCTGTCTCCCCACACCCCTCCTCCACATAACTGACCACATTTTGCCAGTTCTTGGGATTGCTGAACTAGTAAACAGTCATGCCACTAACAGGTGGGAGAGTTACTATGGAAATGCATTAAAATGAAGCTTGGAGGGCAAACACAGGTCAAGGTGGCATCCAAACCAGCTCAAACCTGTTCAGTTTTACTGAGCCCAGCATCCTATTTGTAGACCCCTTGGTTTTATATCTTGCTTTTCTGTAGAATCCAGATACCTCACATATCTGACGTAGATCAGGCATCAGTACATGTGCTGATCACACAGGGGTGCTTGAGGGAAAAAAAGGGAAATAGATGGTGAGACAGATGATATGAAACAGGATGGGGCTTGGTCATATGGTAAGCAGTCCTCCCTTTAAAACTATGTTTTTTAGGTCAAGAGAGTATAAGCTTGCAGGAACAAGAAGCAGAATTTTTTCTAAAAGGTCCCTACTAATAACGAGTGGTACTACTCCCATTTTCATCACTTGAACCCTGCCATGAAAAAAACAATTCCATATATTGGACACTGATTCAAAGTATATACTAAGAAATTTGCCCTACCCCACAAGGCATTCCCACCCAACTGCTGTTATAACTGAGTTTTCAAAAGACCACTTCAATAAAACTAGTTGTATTTCAGGATAGTAGGGAACATGGTAAGACCAATGCAATAGGAACCACCTCCTAATTAAGCTTTCCTAAGATGTCATTCTCCATCTGTCTTCTTTACAGACCAAATCAGAGAGTTGCATGAGGATATGGTAGAAATAACAGCCCTTGCATCTTTCATATCCTAGTGGTTATAGTAATATCTGCTATTCCTTAGGAACACAATTTGCTCTGTGTTTACTATTTTCCTAGAGAGAGACAATTCTAGTGACCTTCACTTAGCCTTTCCCATCACAACAGCCTCACTCTAGAGGTCAGGGAACCAATTTGAGGATTCTACCAGCTGCTTGAGTATACCCATCCCAATGTGCATTTCATTTTTTTTTAAGAGAGAGTGAGAGAGGAGAGAGAGAGAATTTTTAATATTTTATTTTTTAATTCTCGGCGGACACAACATCTTTGTTGGTATGTGGTGCTGAGGATCGAACCCGGGCCGCACGCATGCCAGGCGAGCACGCTACCGCTTGAGCCATATCCCCAGCCCCCAATGTGCATTTCAGAACTGGAGAAATAACCACAGGGTGAGTTGGGGACCCATTGGGCCAATTATGAGGTAAACCTGAGCAAAAACTCCTTTGATAAGTGACCTCCACTAATCCCTTGCTCTAACTGGTGGAATGCAGTGACATTTGGGGTCTCCTGGAATCAGGGTCAATTCAAAACAAATGTCTAATAATACCCAAAAGGTATTTTTATTCTTTTCCTCCAATGCACAGTTCCCTGGAAAAGACCATAGGTCTCTTCCGGGAAAGATCAGTGGTATAAATTTTTGGCATTGTACCCTCGAGGGGATACAGCCTCCTCCTATTCATGTGTTTCTGGCATATAAACTGGCTGAAGTCTGGAGATTGACTGAGGGGCCCTGATTCTCTGTTCTTATCATTCAAGTTAGACTTTTGTTCATTTGGCTTAGAACCTTTTTGCTTATACAAATCAAGTAAGAAATTAATAGGCCTCCTATCAGTTTTCACTTCTAGGAACACCCAAAGCCAATGCCATAAGTTTCTGTAAGTAAATCTATTTTGATTGCCGCTTTGATTCTGCTGTCCATTATGATAACCATACCTACCTTGCCTTAGTGGCTGATCACTGCCACTGTACTCTGGCTACCCTGTAACCCAGTGATTCCCATTGTGTTATGGTTAAATGTTCCCTTCTCAAAGGCCCATGTGCTAAAGGTTGGTCTCCAGACCATGGTGCAGTTTCACTACAAGTCCAAAATAATGGGGCCAAGTAGCCATAGACTTAAACTTATAAAACCATGTGCCAAATAAATTTTTCCTCTTTTTAAGTTTTTTATCTCAGGGTTGTCACAGTGACAAAAACCTGATTAGCACACGTTGAATTTAAGTTTCCTAATTTAATGGCTGTAGTTTCTGCTGTAAGGTGTGGCCTTCAGAGAAGAGTGACCACAGAGCACTTCAGAGATGCTAAGACTTTTCTCACAATTTTGGTAAAAGGTATGTCTTCTGGGCTATCCCAGGGTGAGTGAGTAGGTCTTAAATGACAAATCCATTGTAACATTCCAATCACTGAAAGTCTCTAAATTCCTTCTTCTACATTAAACCAAGGCACTTCTGACATTTCTAACTCACTGGATCACAGTTTGGCCCATGTTTCAGACAATGAGCAAGGACCAAATCCTTTCTAATTCCTTGAGATTCTGCAACATTACATGCTAATCTCTGCTTACTGCACCCATACCACTAAATTCAACCTGATACAACTTTATATACTTCCCATGATGATCCCATGCCCTTAATATCCATTTGCATATATTTTCCCCAGATTTCTGTCTAGGAAAGTACAAGTTAGAAAATCTAAGTAGTCCTTTTGGAGTGCAGCATCTTCCTCTTCAGTCACACATTGTACTTCACCTGTAGGAGCCTAC